GCAGAAGAGAAGAAGAAAGCCAGTTGTACAGAGTGATGACTCTGACAACTCGAGCCCTCAACCAAAACAGAAGAAGAGAAAGACAAAGGAAATTTCACCTGTCAAGAGATCAGAAGTTCAGGGGGGGACTTGAACCAGAATCTGGAACTCAACCTGAGGCTGAACAAGAATCTGCACCAGAGTTGCCAAGTTCTGCTCTCTCACCAGAACGAGAAGCCTCACCAAAGAAGAAACCAGAGATTTACTACAACATCATTCTGCAGAAGCAGTTTGATAGAGTCTTAGCATGGAGAAGATGGAGAATGGGACCACTTCAGAAAATAATTCAGTTTTTTGATGCTTATGAGGAAGAAGAAGCTGCAGTTCTTCACTGGGTAGGCACAGAAGATGTGTCACAGTGCTTCAACCTTGCTTTTCTCATCTCTGTCCTACAGAAAAAGAAAGAAAAATATCAAGGTAAAGCTCCAACAACTGCCCTGTCTCCTGAAAGGCATGTCAAAGCTTTGGAAGAGGATGAGATGGAAGAATTTGATGCGTGGCTAATGGAGAAAAAGAGAAAAGAATCTCTCATCAAGTTTCGTTACAGTGCCCATGAGGAAGGAGAACCCTCCACAGCAAATGATATTGCTCTAACCATGGAAAAGTTGATCAAGGAATGGAGAGAATCCATATTCTCAGAGATTGTTCTTGAGGTAATCCCTACACCTCCTCCTTCCCCTCCCAAATCTCCTGTTACTCAACCATCACCCTCCAAATCACCTTCTAAACCTTCAACCCAATCCCCTCAGAAAACCTCCTCTCCTACACCCTCTTCCACCAGAACTCCATCTCACCAGAAACCAAAATCCAGACCCTCATCACCTTGCAAACAACCCTCAAACACCAGAAATCGATCACCTTCACCCCCACCATCCCCCTCACACCAACCTATTCCTAAACCAATAATCCCATTTCCCCAGAGTTCACCTCATCAGAAATCCTTATCACCCTCCAGAACTGCCTCTCCACAGAGATCATCTCACCACTCTGTAGCCTCTACACCCAAGAAGAAACCAGTCTTCAGAGTCCTCTCTTCAGAAAGTGACAATGATGGATTATTCACCTCCTCCATTGCGGCTGATGAAACATCTAAAAGGAGAAGGACACCCCCAAGAGTTCCTTCCCCTACACCATCCACCAGAGTTCCTCCATTTCCCAAGAGCAGAGGATTAGAGATGCCAGGATTTACACCTGAAGAACCCCAGATTCCTTTCAACCAGTTTGTGAAATCTGCAGAAGAATTTGGTGGTCTGTTGGTTCATGATCTGAGCAAGATCATTGACCTGAACGACAAGCATCACGAAGAGCTAACCCATACCAACCTTCAACTCACAATCGGATTCCAGCATATGACAGACAAGGTTGCTGCACTATCAGAAACTCTGCACAACTTCATGCATTCATCTACGGTGAGAATAGACTCTGTCTCCAGAGATGTCAGTGGCATCAACTCTGTTCTCCACTCTCACTCTCAAGCTCTACTTGCCCAGCACCAGACAATCAAGCAGATCTCAGACTCTGTTTATACTCTTCAAAAATCTGCTGATAGTTCATCTCAGAAGCTCACAGTCTTACACTCCCTCTACAAGGAGCATCAAGAGCAAGGCCTAGCTCTCATCAAGTCTGATAAGGAACGATACCAGAAGATGGTTCTTCTAGAAGTCAGCACTAAGGATCTCCAATCTGCAGTCGACAAGCAACAGAGCCTGATTGAAGGACCTGCCTCTGTCACTCAGACTCTGCCAGAGACTCTTGATGAGATCAGAGATGCCCAAGCCTCTGAGTTCTCCAAGATTGAGCTCCTCCTTGGCGATCTTATTGATGCCAAAAAGGGGGAAGATACCAGAGAAGAGGAAGGACCTAACACTAGAGCCCTATCTATCAGAGAACCCTCCTCTACTGTTGATCCTGCACCATACTTTGATGCAACCAGAAAGAAGAGACTAGCTGCTGCAGGTACCAGACCTCCACCTCCTCCTCCAAGAAGCTCAAAGAAAAAGATCTCATCATTTTCATTCAATGATTGGATGAAGAGCGGTCTGTCAAGGCCAGACAGAGTTCAGTTTGAACAAATGAGGAAGCTGATGACACCCCTTCAACGAGAGAATCTGTTCATGGATAGTGATGGACTTGTCCAGATCAACCATGGTGGTTCTATCCAAGAAGCAGAAATCTGGTACGGGATGAAGGTTCTCACTGGCAAGAACACTGCAGAAGCTGTTAGAAATTATTTGGACTGCAAACTTGCACCTCATTGGGCTGACTATCAGAATCCGAGGGATCTAGCCTCAATCAGAGCTAAGGTAAATGCAGAGCTCGAAAGGATTGACAGACCAGGACCACAGGTAGATGAAGAAGATCTCTAACTCTCTATCTCTGATTCTGTAAATTTTTATTTTCTCTCTCAGATAAATAAGATACCAACTCTGCCTCTTTTTGCATGGCTTACTCAAATGTCTGTTCTTATTCACCTTCCTTGTGTTTATTCTGTTACCTTATTTGCTTTAATTGCTATCTGAATGTATCGTACTCTTACTATTCTCCTATGATAAGTTGCCCACCAAGATTTTAATGAAAAGTTTCAAACTTCTTTATGGTGAAAGGCACTTCTCTGGAAATAGTTAAAGGGTTTTGGCATCATCAAAAAGAGGGAAATTGTAAGGAATAAATGTATTTAGATTTTGATGATGCTAGGTTAATTAGAATTTGAAAGTACCCCGTTAGATTTCTTGTATTAAAATTTCTTTTGTAAGTTTTAGCTTAGTCTACTTGCCAGAGATCCACCTTGCTTCTACCAGAGTTGCTCCCAGAGTTGCTCACCAGAGAAGCCATCAGAACTGGATATCAGTGTTGGTACCAGAGTTGGCAACAGAGGCGGACTTCAAAGATTGAACCAGAGAGCCTCATAAGACTTTGCCAAACACACCAGATTCCGAAAGCACTTACCAACGGTCGTTAAACTAACGGGAAATCCCCTAACGGTTACGAACCTTTCAACGGAGATATGGTACTGTACACACATTAAATGCACATTTAATGCTGTACGTACGAAGAGATATTTAAAGCTGATGATTGACCATGCAAGTATATTCACGCCCCCCAAAATAGCAAATCGAAGGTCCAACCGGTCAAGTCAACAGTACAAGCATTTAATGAAGCTGTCTTCTACACTCCAACGGGAAGACTGCTCCCAGTATATAAGATACACTCTGAAGAACTACGAGGAAGAACTTTTGCTACAACATCTGCCAGACGAACTTGCTCAGATCATTCTACTCTAAATCAAATACCTCAAAGCCTTCGTGAGATTCAAACTTCACTCTTAACAAGAAAAGGCTACAGTTGGAAGATATATTTTCTAATCCCTCATCCAACTAGCAAGTTGCAAAGTTCCTCAGTTCTTCAACACTTCGAAAACTTCATCTACTCATCCTTTGTGAAGAAGCAACGTTGGAGAAAACTGATTTTGAATCAAACACTTCTTGCAAAAGAAGGGACGTCTCAAATTAGCTTGAGTAAGTGAAGTGGGGATACTTCAAGAGACTCAGTGAAACGAGACCAGCCATCAGGAAGCAGGACTGCATCCTGAGTGGCAACTAGACTTGAAGAAGACGTGGAGAGCTTCTTAAGTTCTAGGGACTAAGGCGTTGTAAACTGTTGTTTTTGCAAGCTTAGTGGAACAGTGGACTAGAGGAACAAGTTGTTCCTTGAACCACTATAAAAATCCCGGTGTCACTTACTTACTTATTTTATCTCTGCACTTAAGAACTTAAACTGCTTGACTCAAAAGGTTGGATTCTGTGTTCAGCAGATCTCCCTTAAGAGTTATCAGAAAGGCATTTGCCTTAGTGTTGTCTGAGGCTACCCGGACAGAACCTAATCCGCTGCCAGGTCCAGTTCTGCCATCAGAACTCGACCTTCTCTGTCATCAGACTTCGAGCATCTCTGATAAGTCAGTTTTGACTTAGAGAAAAGTTTAAATTCTTGAACAGTCTATTCACCCTCCCCCCCCTCTAGACTGTTCCCATTACAAACGGGACCAACAGTTTTCCCATCAAACTGGCTTTTTGAGGGATGGGGGGTTTACAGTCCCCCATTCTTGATGAGGTTGGTACCTCTGGGCTCGCAATCGCATGCTGATGCTGATTCGAGCGTTTAATTTTTTTTGGGGTCGGATTATTGGTTCCCAACCCCGATTTTGATTTTCTGCATGTATGTCTTTTTTTGCAGATTTCAAAAATGTCTTCTCAAGGTGCTTCTGCTAACGCTGGAGACAATGCTGGCCCTCCACGGGATGTTGAAGAATTTCCCGTAGTATTTGATGTGCCCCCCTCCCCTCATTCAGGAGGCGGAAAGGTGGTAAGGGAAAGCGTGGGGGCGTGGTGGGCACCCTTGCGGAGAATGGACCTCTCGTGGACGTTTGCGCCCTTACTGACGCTGAGTGGGCTGAAGCCAGGTGCATGGCTGGTCCTACTGTTGATATCATGAGGCCCGAAGTTGGGAGCCTGGCGTCCTCTTGCCCCTCTGGCTTTTTTGCGGTTCATCTGGACGCGATGGATCACGGGTTTCGCTTTCCGCTGCACCCGTTCTTTGTGGAGTATCTCAACTGGGTTTGGCTACTCCCTTATCAGGTAACCCCCAATGGGTTCTACCTGATGGCTGCCTTCCTCTTGCGCTGCAAGGATCTGGGTTTGAAGGTTAGCGTCGGCCTCTTCAAGCACTTGTTCCAAATTGGACTTAATAGTTCGCTGGAGAATCAGGGTTATGCTCTTATCTCCCAACGGTCCGGCAGGAGTGGGTTCTACCATACCCTGTCGTCTCACCATGGATGGAAGCACAAATTTGTGTTTATCTGCACTGATAGGAAGGGGGGATCTCCTTTCACTGCCCCAGGTTCCCTGTCGTTCAATATGCACGATGGTGGTGCGCTGGGTGAGTTTGCTGACGATGTGGGCACCTATGTCGGGTATGGTGACCTGGACATCACAACTTTTCTGCCCGAGGAAAAGCTGAAGGACTTGGGCTTCGTCTTCTTTACTGAGGTTCCTGATGAAGATGAAGGGGCTACCGTTGGTGGTGAGTCTCAACACGCTGCGCAAGTCGATGCTCGGGAGGAAGCCGACATTGTTGCGGCTATTGTTGCGTCCTTGGCCATGGGACAGGGCTCGGGTGATGGCCCCACTGCTTCCGATGTGTTTGCCCCCCAGTCGTCAAGTGAGAAGAGGGCTTTTTCCCATATGTCCCCTCCCAGGCCTGAGTCTTCAGAGGATGAGGAGCATTCGTTGGAGAGGAAGAAACGCTCAGGGGAGGCGTCTGCTCCTGGGGTTGCTAGCTCTGCAGGAATGGCAGATCCTGCAAAAGTTGGAGTTGAGCCTGTCAGGAAAAGGGCAGATCCTACAAAGGTTGATTTGGCTTCCTCCTCTAAACCTTCTGGGGTTGCTGGCTCCGCAGGAATGGCAGATCCTGCAAAAGTTGGAGTTGAGCCCGTCGAGAAAAGGGCAGATCCTGCAAAGGTTGATTTGGCTTCCTCCTCTCAACCTTCTGTGGTTTCTCCAGGTACTTATCCTTGGTCTGGTGCTCAATGTTGGTGTTTTATGCCTGTACTCCTTGTCATCTTGCTGTGTTTAACTGTGGTTTTGCAGGTAGTGCCAGCCTGTTCGACCTACTTGACCAGGCACAAGGGAGCAGGAGAATGAAGACTCATCCCACTGCTGGCGTTAAATACGATGAACCGTCTTCCAGTGGTTCCTCCTCTTCCTCCCAGGATTCTGGAAATGGGCATGATGCGGTTGCTGCTGGTGGAGGGGGCGCTCAGCAAGATGATGTCGCGGCCCAACACGGGGGTGCCGCGGTTCCTGCCTATGCTGCGGCAGATGAAGCCCCCACCCCTTCACCCGATGTGGTCATTGAAGATGCCACAGATGAAGGTGAAGATGATGACGAAGACAAGGAGACTGTTTAGCAGCTCTGAAGCCGCCTGGGCTCGGATGCTCCAGGGCACAGTGGTGGTACCCCAGCCGGTGGCCGGAAAAAACATTCAGTGGCCAAGGGGAGTGGACCACCACATGATACTGCCGGCGGACGGAAGAGGCACAGGTTCCAGTTCTCTTTCAGGGACGACCAGGGCTTTGTCTCCGAGAACGCTGGGGCTATGGATCTGCTGGCCCATCTACGGCTGCCCTGTGATACTGGGGTCATGGGGGAGATGGACACCCCAAGCGTTGCTGAGGAGCTTCCCTCCAGTGCGCTTAAGGTGTGCTCTCTTTTCCGCTTCTCCTTATGCATTGGTTTTGCCTTCCTTTCTGTTTTTTGTAGTCATATTTTCCCGACGTTGCAGGCCGTCGTTCTGGGTTACGAAATGGCCCTTAGGACAGAGGCAGTTGAGCTCCGGGTGAGAATGGTTGCCGGGAAGCAGGCGGATCTCCAGGATAGTCTGTGGGCAGCGCAGCAGGCCCTGGAGGCTTCTGAAAAGCAAATGAATGAGTTCGAGGGGAGGGCTCAGGATGCTGAGATCCGTCTTAGGGAATGTCAATCCCAGTTTGAGGCCCTCCAGGATATTGCCAATAAGGCTGTCCTGGCACTGGGTGAGGCAGAGGCCCAGGTCCAGCGTGCAGAGGAGCGGGCCCGGGCTGCTGAGGACAAGGCCACAACTGCCATTGAAAAGGCCAAAATCAGCCTGGCTGAGTGGCAAAGAATGATAGACATTTCTAATATGGCCATGAAAAAGAGAGACCATCTCCGCAACTCCTTGGTCGAGGTTGAAAATGAGCACTGCGTCGTGAAGACCCGGTGTTCCACCCTGGATGATAAGCTCACCGTGGCCACCCGCGAGCGGAGTGAATGGGAAGCGGAGCATGACAGGGTGGCCCTTGAGCTAAAAGAAGCCCGCTCTCAAATTGTCAAGCAGGGGCGGACTCTGGAGCGGATCAAGGGACAGGCTGAGGAGGCAGATATCGCCAAAGCCCGGGTTTCTGAGCTTGAGGTTGATGTGGCTTCCAGGGATGCTGAATTGGATAAGCTGAGGGATGAGCTTGCAGAAACTCAGGTTGCTTCTGGGTACGACAAAGCTCGGATAATGCAGCATGAAGCTGAAATGGCCGCCACTCAGAAGAAATTTGAAGGCTACATGGCGGGCCATACTGCTGCTATTGAAAGAGCAAGGGCGGGTGTTGTTTCCGAGTTTCAGGCCTCATGTTCTAAGGATCCAGCTCCTTCATCAACCGTTGGCTGGCTTCACGGGGTCATGGGCAAACATATTGATGGCCGGTTAGCCACGCCTGACGGGCTGGAGTTCATGCGGAGACAGCTGCCGCCCACTCTGAACTATGGAAAATATATGATGCAGAAGGACATTTACGATCGGCTTCGAGCGACTCTGCCTAGCTTCAACCATAAGAAATATAAGCTTCCCCAACCTATGCAGCATCCGGAGATTGCACCTAGCCAGCAGATTCAGTATTCCTTGACTGCTAAGGCACAGCCATCTGAGGTCGGTGAGGAAGTGGAGCAGGAGAAGAAGAAGAAGAGAAAGAGAAAGGAGTAGACTCCCCTTCCCCTTAATCTTTATGCACATCTGGCTGTTGAGCCTTTGTTGTAGACCTTCTTGGAACAACTCCTGACAATCGTATTGTGTATGAAATGTTCCTTTTGTGTGCAGTTTTTATGCTTGCTGTGCTTTGCATATTTGTCTATACGTTGCACAGGTTGTGTTGAGTGGGGATGGGCCACGAATGGCCTGTCCTCTTTTAGCTTTGAGCTTAGTGTGTGTTTACTGAATGGCAGCAATTGTCCCCAGCAGGGGTTGTATAATCAGCCCTGCTTGGGTGAGGCATTGATGGTTCCTTGCTGTTTTTCAATGGTAGGGAACTTGCCTTTGTCTGATTCGCAATCATGGATTTTCAGGTATCCATGTTGGATTGTGCATGTTACATGCTTGTGCAATAATGGATTCTCAGGGGTCCATCACTGAAGAGTTTATCAGTATCAGTGATTGCTAACCGTTGGAGCTTTCACTGGAGCTTTTGGCCGTCACTTTGGAGCTTTAGGTTGTGCTGTTTTCTTGCGGCCAGTAACTCGTTTGTCCGGTGCCCTGTGCTTAATAAAGCTTTTTTGGACTAGTTTTTCCTTAGGAAAATAGTTTGAAACCTTCGTTTTGGTTTGCCTTTTTAATCACAATGTAAGGTCAACAGGTGCGTTGAACAGGTGAGGTGACTTCATTTTTCGAAGTCCTCCTCTGTTAACTGATCTGAGCCCGTGCTATTAAGAGCACTTGCTCAGCCTGCGACAAGAAAGTTTTAGCAGAGTTGCAACAGTTGCTTCACTTGCTGTGAGTGGCTGTTGCAAAGGCATTTTATTTTGTAAAATATCCCAAACAGCTATAATGTGTAAACAGAACCTGGAAAGTAGGTCTTAAGATGTCCGTAGGGCTTGAGAAGCGGGCCCGGCAGTCAGGTTCCAGATACGAGGTCTTTAAGCGAGCTCGGCTGGAATCTGCAGTGATGCGCTGTGTTGCAGCTGGACTTTAATTCCGGGCTGTTTGGCTTTGCGCTAGAGATTTTGATAGCGACCTCCTTCCAGACCGCGAGATATGGACTAGAGCTCGGCTATGCAGGATTCGTACGAGAGCCCGGCGTGGTCGGAAGCGAGAGGTGCAAGCAGTCGGACTTTAATTCCAGATTGTGGCATTGCACCATCAATTTAGGGAGTTGTCCTCCTTCCAGACCGCGAGATATGGACTAGAGCTCGGCGCTGTGAGATTCGTACGAGAGCTCGGAGGGGTCAGAAGCGAGAGGTGCTCGACCAAGGTCAGGACCGTCAAGTAGTCCAGCCTTCGGCGTTTGCGCCTCAATTTAGGGAGCTGACCACCTTCCGGACCGCAAGATATGGACTAGAGCTCGGCGCTGCGGGATTCGTACGAGAGCCCGACGGGGTCAAAAGCGGGTGGTGCTTAACCAAGGTGAGGGGCATCAAGTACCAGCCTTTGGCATTGCGCCTCTACCCCCCCCCCCCCCCCGCGCCTTCAATGCTAAAGGGGGAGACGAAATTTCGTGGGGTGCCAGGACTTACGGAGTTGCCAGAGCCCAAAATTTGGGAGTCGCGTTGGGCTACTATCCCTGCTTGTTTTGTGAGGAAGGAACAAGGGCTTATATAGATGCCTCGACTTCTCTCTTTGGGAGCCGCATTGGGCTGTTGTCCCTGTTTGATTGAGGGCTTACGAAGTGGCCTCGGAGATTGGGATCCATCGAGGCTGTTGTCCCTGGAGATGTGAGGGCTCATAAAGCGGCCTCAGAGGTTGGGAGCCGTCGAGGCTGTTATCCCTGGAGATGTGAGGGCTCATATGGTCACCTCAGCTTGTCGGAGCCTTGGCTGGAGAGCCTGTATTCGCGAGGACTTATGAAGTCGCCTCAGTTATTGGGGCTCGGTTGATGAGTGTGCGTTGTCGAGGGATTACATAATGACCTCGAACTTTGGGAGCCGCTGGGGCTTTTATCCCAGAAGCATCAAGTACTTACAGAGCGGCCTTGGAATTCGATAGTAGGCTGAAGAGCCAATGTTTGCGAGGACTTACGAAGCTGCCTCGGCTTATATCAGCGTTGAGCTTGGACCGGAAGACTTATAAATTGCTCCCAGGGAGAGTTTCGTGTTGAACCCTTTATTGATTTGAAATGGCAGCCGCTAATAGTTTACAGTGTACGGCCGAGGTTGCTATCAGTGACCCCGGATTTCCAATGCCCGTGATTGTGCAAAGTTTCCATTTGGCGAGGGCTTATTGTCTCTTTTACAGCGTTGGGTCACTGGTAGTACCTCACCAGGTGGTGGACGTTCCATAACCTTGGAACTTCCGTGCCTTTTGGAGTGCTTAGTTTGTAAGTTCTGGGCCGGACTACATCGGTGATGAGGTAGGGCCCTTCGAACTTCTTGGCCATCTTGCCTCCCTCATTCGGTTGGTTGGCTGTTCGTCGCCTGAGGACGTAGTCCCCCACTTGGAACTCCCGACCTCGGACTTGTGCATCGTAATAGCTCTTGACCTGACATCTGTTGTTCTCCGACCTCAGGAAAGCGTTTTCCCTTCTTTCATCAATGAAGTTGAGGTCGATTCGCATGTTCTGCTCATTTTTCTCGGGGTCATATGACAGGACCCGCGGGGTCAGGATTGTGACCTCCGTAGGGGCTTTGGCTTCAAATCCATAGCAGAGTGAAAATGGAGTCTCACCCGTTACTCCGCGGGGAGTTGTTCTGTAGGCCCACAGAATGTTATGGATCTCTTCCACCCAGCCTCCGCCTTCGTCTGTGAGCTTCTTTTTTAAGCCCGCCAAGATGGTGCAGTTGGCATTTTCCACCTCTCCATTGCACTGTGGGTAGGTGACGGAGGCTGCGGTGTGTTTGATTCCCCATCTGGCCAGCATGTCCTGGAAGCGAGTGAGTACCGTTATCCGTGATGAGCTGTTGTGGCACACCGAAGCGAGTGAGGATATTCTTGTGGACAAATCTCCTGCATTGTGCCTCGGTTATGCTGGTCAGTGGTTCCGCTTCTATCCATTTTGTGAAATAGTCAATGCCGACTATAATCCACCTGCAGTTGCCGGTACCTCGGGGAAGCTGTCCCACGAGGTCTACGTCCCATCTGGAAAATGGGATTGTTGTGCTAATGGGGGCGTAGTTTACTGCTTGGCGTCCCGGGGCATTCTGGAATTGTTGG